AAAAAAAAAAAAAAAAAAAAAAAAAAAAGAAAAAAAGGAGACCTTTTTGACGAAATGACAGACTACAACTCCTAGAAGTTGTTCCCTCGGAATTGCATGGTTCAAAAGAGTTTTTATACATCTGTGACGATGGATTATTGCTTTGTGTGCGTAACTCAGCATCCAGTCCTCCTAAAGGGCAATTTTTAAAAACTCTTAAACAACTTTTTTCCCATTATAATCTAACCTTTCTTAACAACTGCTAATAAAATACTAAAGCATCTAAAATGAATTAACGTCATTTCACACCTTCGTAAACCTGGTTATCAAATTCTGTACAGAAATTGTCCCGACTGTCACCTGCTGATGCATCAGAATCCATCAGATAATAAATAATTGTTTCTAAAACAAATAACTCTGGAAACTTCGAGAAACAAAAACTGCCGGGAAAAATATGAAACGTCGATAGCGTATTTCATCAAATCTCACTGCCATTTAGCCATAAACATTGAGAAGACTTTAAAAGAACTGTTTTTTCATAAAAAGATCCCTGTGATTTAGGGTGAAAAAAGTGAAAAAAATGGTGGAGATATGAATGAATTTAGCAAAATTACAGCCAAAAACCTAAGAAACTTTTAACTGTTACGGGAGTTGCGGGCGATATTTTCAGAAGTCGAGAATAACCATATAAAAAACAAGAAAATTTTTAAATCAAAACTTAGAAACCAGTAAAAGTTTCGAATAGCAATGATACAAATGTAAGAACTATGAAGGACCATTCCAACTGCACACGCAAAACGTGTCTAACAGATCAAATTCTTTTTCTCGGATTTACTCAAAAAACAGCTTTCTAGTCTTAACAAAAGCCCCTTTGCGTGCAGAAACACAAGCTAAAACGTTGATTATGAGAAGCAATTCACAGAGGGAAGACAAACAGCAAGAAAAAGTGATTTTTAGTGATTTTACTGGTCACTCCAAGTCAATAAAGTGAAACATTAATTAATCTGTCTACAATAATTAAATCAATTCAGACTACAAGACGTTTAGTAACAGAAGACGATGTAGTTTTCATCAGTGTAATGAAAAACGAAACCTCAACTAGAGAGCTAAATAATTAAAGAAAGAAAATATTCATAGAAAACATGGCAGCTGCTCCACATTATCCAATAAGTTATCATCCATTTATAATAAAACTCAAACTTGAAATCGAAAAATCGGCATTTAAATAATTAGGTGTACGACGTCTACAGCGAAACCTTTACAACAACAAATTCGTTAACAAACTTGTAAAGATATAGAAAAAAGATAGTCGTGTTGTAAAGTACTCGAATAACCTTACTATTTGAAATTCTACAGCAGAAATTGACTGACCAACTGTTAAACTCAGCAACGGTTACTCAATCGTACTTATTGATAATGGCTTGGCATACCACATATTTCTGTTGTCCACAATTCGTATACGTAAAAACAAGCATTTTTGCTCCCTTTACTTTGTAACCATCTTATATGAAAAAAACCTGAATTAAGGACCCACCAGAAAAACCATTAAACGAACAGATCCCTAACAATTACCATCTATATGAACAAACCATTTTTTCTGACCAGCTTCCCTCCAAATCAAGGACTGTTGCAGCAAGATGTAATTTGAATTCAAACTTTAACGCTTCAAAAAGTCAAGTTTGCTAAGAAAATTCTTTTTTTCCGGACACTGTTGGTTTAGTGTTCTAGTTCTACTTATGAATTTCTTTTTATCCACTTCTCGTCATTTGTTTTTGCCACAGTTATGTACAACCTCCAATCTACATGAAAATGCCGCTGTAACTGCTTTTCGAAAGTAAGCCTATGCAAGTTTAAGAAGAATAACAATACTCCTATTTATTTTTACCGAAAATCCCCCTCATTAAATTACAAAGTAAATTCGGCGCAAATAAGTACTGCGCATCTTCCTATACATAGGAGTGGCCCCGCAACCACTGTAAAGTGTTTATATAAAAAGAAGAAACAAACAGTTGAACAGAGGCCATTAAGATAATGTAACACAAAAGAAAAAAAAAAGGCTGTATAAATGCAAAAGTTACTGCACAAAAAGACAGGTTCAAAGTAGAAACAAAGTTTTACTTGATGAAGTTGCTACTACAAAGGAAAAAAAAGGCTAGTACGTCCCAGTGCATAAACTAGCCAGTTAAACTTCCGCTCATAATTCAAACAAAACTAGTACATTCGGAAAGTGCTTCAGTTCTTTCAGCGGAATCTATTTCAACGAAAAGCGTTTGGCTTCAGGACGAAAAAGAAGTAACAACTGCATGAAAAAATAACAACGAAACGCAAAAACGAGGATGAAAAAACCTCTATAACTATGACCTTACGAAGTTCTATGTAAAATAAAGTTGTATCTAAAAAATACCAGAAACAGACGGAAAGCCAAATGATCTGACGAGCAAGAAACCGCTGGAAAACAATGATAGCAGTAGCTGCTACTAATGCAAAGCTGCTGAGCATCAGCACCCCTCAACAGAAACTCTTTCCACTGGGAATTTGCCAAAACATTACCGTTCGCTTTGTAAGACCACCAGCCGATTACAAATAACAAACGCACCGTTTATCCCTAATCGATAGTTATGTTTATTATGATATATTCAACTGATGATAAGGAACGACAACAAAGACAACAATATTCAAAACAGTTGTGTTGTTTTTGTGCCTGTATTTTGCGCACAAATGACAACTTCTCCTGGGCCTCCTCATATGAAAAGTTCCTCACACTTAGTTCAAACTACACGTGGTTCGTAACTTTTGAGCCCCTCTGTTGAAAAATGTGTAAGTTTTAA